TGAAAATTTTCGATTGATAATAGTTCATTCCATGCGTTTACATATATTGAGTGTGCCCTGTAAATTTCAAGTAATTCGGTCCAGCCGTTTCTGAGATACAATGGAGGAAAGTTTGAAAAACACAGTTTTGAGAAAAACGCGTTTAAAGTTTCAAGTCCGTTAAAAACTATTAAAATATCAACTTACTCTCAATCGGCGATGCCTGGTCCATAGAGTATTCCTTCCTCTTCCTCGTGAAACTCTTTTAAAGCAGATTGTTCAGCTCTTGAGTCAATCCTGGCTTGTTTAACGACATCACTTACGCGCCGCTCAGAGCGTAAGATTCGCTTTTCATCCCGTTTCTCAACATACGCTTGGGCTTCACGACCAACAGGGCATCCCATAATCGACATAACTTTTAAAATACCTTGAAAACCTTCATTAAAGATAATAACTGCTAAGTAGCTAGCAATTTCAACAACTTTGGGACCAGAATGAAGATGTTTAGGAGCGAAAGTCCAAATCAAAGAATTCAAAGATTCGTTATTGTTTTGTGTCTCTGCTCCTAAACAACGAATTAATAATTCGTCTTTCGATAAATCTTCGAAAACCGGTTTGATAGCTTCTTGGACTTGCGGAATTAGAGGTGGTTTATCGTGATGAAATTGGTCCAGTTCATTATTAGCTTCAGCCTTACGCCATTTACACCAACTGTCTTCGCCTTCTGGACAAAATTGATGCTGAGGGTTTTCATCAGAAGAACATTTGTGATAGTACGTTGCCCAAACTTCCTTTCTCATATCTTCAAGCGAATCTGGATGGCGTCGAATTGCTAATCCGTAGAATTTTGTAATTTCTTGGATAACTTTATCAGTAAGTTTACCTGCTCCTTTTCCTGTTTAAGTCTGTAGAAACGTGTCTAAACTTGTATAAATAAATATATTAATAAAAGGGAGGCCAGGTATAAAGCCGACGGTATACAATAGGCCCGGTCTCTAACTGCCAACTCACCGCTCCGAACCGCTCTTTCTTTTACCTGCTGTATCTTTAAAACGACTTCGAATTTTCTAAAATCGCTTTACTACCGTATTCTAGACATGTTAAGGGAGCAATTTATGAAAAAAAAAAATCGATTTTTTCAACCCATCACATAGGAAGACCCCCTTAATATATGTACATCCGTGTGAAGACGGGGCGGGTACCTTGTAATAAATACAATTATGTATTATTTTAAGTAGGTAGTTCCAAAATAATAACAGTACAAAAGAGCCTGATGAATTTCTCCAATTACATTCATATCACTTGACCTAACCCCACATACATTATTGTTACATCATAATTGGAGATAAATAAACCGATGACTTTATCTGCGGTAGGTAACCACATTGAGAATGATTTTTTTCTTTTTCTGACTACTCTAATGCTGTTGGCCGCAGCTGGCCTTTACAGCTTCGCCGCACAATAGGGGGCAAGTGCAGATGGCACCCCAAACCCGCTGAAGGACTTATGGAGCGGATGAAGGCCAACTTCCGCCTGATGGATACGACTTTAGTCTAAAGACACCGCCAGGAGTTCGAACCTCATCTCAGACCATCGTAATTTCAATCCCGTTTAAATTAGACGGGAGATCAATCAGTGAGAGTGGAGACTAGCAATTTATTATTTTTAAATCAATAATTTGTTTAATAATTACCTTATAATCTAAATCATTCCAGAGGAAATTAAATATTGTAAATTTGTCTCAATCTAAAGCTTTACGTTATTATTTTTTATGCAGTATGTGCACTTCAAAAAGCAATGCACAAATACCTGCGAACTATTGTTATACATCCATACTGTCATTCAAATACATTATATTGAAAGAGTATATATGTATATGTCAAATAAATGCCCGTAGATTCATATTACGTATCGCTACAATCCATTTCCGATGGTATTGTTTAGGTATGTATTGACGCCTTACCGTGGGTGGCAATTTATCCTCAAGATTAGACAGCTGAACCTGGATAACAACTGTGCTAGCATTCAATTTATTGTTGAAGATATATACGCACGTCTTCCGAATTTAAAACAACCTTTTCTTTTATATAATCATATACTAGGTGACTTGCCCAACTTTGTCTACGTTACATTGTCATGATCTCCGATTTTACAATTTTTATTATAGCTCCGCTTTTATTAGTCGTAACTTAATGTGCAAAAGAGGGAGAAAGGATTTGTTAGCAATGTGAACTAATTACTACATCCCTAGCAATGTACCAAGTCAGGTTGACCTACACTCGGGTCCTCCTGGAAACCATCGTGATAAATACCTAGTGAATTTTTTAGGATGGGCCAACTGACCTGACCTCATGCTCATCTTATCATCTTCCACTGATGCCCCGCCAGCATAATCCCTTAAGTGCAATCGGATGCACTATTACATTATCATAGTTAAAAAAATGTGCGAATGTGGACTGTTAGTAATGTGGACTGATGACTTCATTGTTAGCAAAGTACCATGTCCGTTATGAACGTGGTGCCCCATTAGAATAAATCGTTAGCTCAGATGGGTGAAACATTTCATCATTTATCTTTTAAGAAAAAAGGTTACATAACATTTTCAAAATCGGATTAGTAGTTACCCCGAACATCCAAACCCAAAAAATTACCTTTTATAATATAACTAGGAAAAGATGTAAGTAAAGTATAAAAAAATGTGATACGTGGGTCTAAGTTAAAAACACACACGAGGTCTTCATTCTTTGTACAAAGGACACATTTCTCATTTCACTTGCAAATGTTAAATTATACTAATTGGATATACATCTGCTCCTACAAAAATACACAGAATATTCTATTCAAGAATGTTCTGAAATTTAATTTATTAATATTTTTTTGTACTGCAGTTTGTATATCTATTTGAATATTTATAACAATATCTTAAAAATAATTTATTAATAGGTGTTAAAAAGTATTAAAAATTTTAAATGACTGTATAGTTTCCAAGTTAAAAAAAAGTTAGGCAGCTACATATAGGATAAGACTGATTATGTTGGATGAGAGGTTTAGATCAACATAAATCAATCTTATATGTCTTATATATGTTTGATGGCAAATTATACCTTTTATTTAATCAAAGTTATACATTGATTTTAGCAGTAGGTACAAGTACAATTAAGTCGAAGCTATGGCTTAAAAAGGAACTACTTTCAGAATTATATTAATTATTATTTTATTTAATGTTTCCTCCTTTGAAGTATAGTACAAATAACAATTTATGTGTATAAATAAATATTTTTTTATAAAAGACAGGTTTTGTTTTGGTAGTCTTGAAATAGAAGCCAAATTTAATTTCACGTTTAAATTAATTCGTATTATTGTACATTTGTTGAAACATTTCTAAGAATTAATTTTCTTATTTAACTAGTCCAAAAAGAACTTTATGTCAATAAAGCTTCGGTGATATTAAATCTATTCAATTCAATATTGACATAAGATATATACTATAAATCTGACAGCAGAATATTTTTTATTAAAAGTTATTAAAAAGTAATAAGAAAAAAGTAATATATAAAATATTTATGAACTATTAATAATCAATTTTCGTCATGGTGTAAATTTAGGTATATATAATAACAGGATAATTAGTATCGTAACAATATTACTATAATATGAATATATTTAAAGTAATTATTAATGCATATGTATATGCTACTAATGCCTATTAATCTAGATTATAAATTGTACCAATGTCTTATTAATAATAAAATACTTAAATTTTCGATAAAAAATATAACATTAACACGAAAACTCACAATATAACATTGCGTTTTTAAAAAAATCACCAAGGTGCAATTAGTTCGTTTTTGTTTCTATTCAGGCTAAGAGATCCGTAACTACAGTGCCCTTAACTGCATTAACAATAAATTTACTTTATCGTAACAGTATATTTCGATAAATTGAATACTACACTAATTACGAAACAGTTGGCAACATTACGGGCCACACGCATGTCGTTATAGCAACTAGGTCGTCATACAATTACGGCTACATCCAAATAGTTCCCGTGTCAAATCACCCGTCATCGACGTTATCAATGCTTGTTGCACACAGTGCCCAATTTGTTTACGAGGCGGGAGTGTTTGTTAAACATCTATTCTGTGCTGATGAATATATTGTCCACAGTCTAACGTATGCAGTAGTTTACTGTATTTACTTTTCCGACTCAAGTTTTTCCTTAGAGACTGTATTATAATATTTTAATGGTCTTGTAATTTACTATAAGCAAACTAGTCGGTGTTGCCTGTCTAGAGATTGATTTTCCTGTTTGGAGGCCTATTACTGAATGATACTTTCAAAATTCTGACATTTTCAAAACGATCTTTTCTTGACTTGCACCGAATTTGCTATGTAGGTACTAAAGATTTATACTACCTTCATCATAAATAAAAGATGCTGAATTATAAATAACAACAGGACTTCGAGATATCTATTAAATTAGATATTGATACACTGCTTTTGTTAATTTTACTGTGTACTCATTATAGGATCACTGTATTTATTGTTCTAAGTACGCGCCGGCAATGCCGCATCTATTGTGGTAGGTTTATGTTTGTATACATTCTGATATGTTACGTATTGGGTGTTTCATCGTTTCATAATTTATGACGCAATTTATATTCTGTTCAGCTTATAGTATTTTTTACAATCATGTATTTGGTTATGTTGAAAATTTATAACGCTATATTACTTAAATGATTTGCGCTAATTAACTAAGTAAACAAGAAAATATTTGACTGATATCTATTTATTTACTCTTTATTACACTAGAAGCCGATTATAAAAAACAAAACATACATAAGAGCTATAAGGTACAAATGGTAGTCTTATAGCATAAGCAATCTCTTCCAGCAACCTTTGGGTAAAGGAGAAAATACAGAAAGTAGTACCAGAATGGACTAGAGAAATAAATATATATATATATATATAATAAAATCTAAAATGGATTTAATAGGTATGTATAGAGAAATATAAATTACCTTGCAAAGTCCGTCTTGTAGACAGCAAAAGATCTGTGATGGGCCTAGTCTTCATTGCAGCCTGTTCTACCGCGACCCTCATGAGGGCGGCGCGTAGCTGCTGTTCCCGTCCTCGACCGCAGCATTGCCCTCCACATATGGATCCTGGAGACAAATTAATTTCTTTATATTTCTACTAGCTGACTCAGCAAATGTTGTTTTGCTATATAAATTAAGGTACCTACTAATATCGCTATTAAAAATTAGGAGTTGGTGCTAGAAGGGTGAAAAATGAGGATATCATAACATTTTTTATTTTATATTTTGTCAATATTTTTTTATAATGTGTTACCACATTAAAATATCAAAAAATATAAAATAATATTTGAGTTGGACAACCTTCGTCACTTAGCGATATGAAAAATATATAGATGCCGATTCTCAGACCTACTGAATACGCATAAAGAATTTTATAAAAATCGGCTAAGCTGTTTCGGAGGGGTATGGTAACTAACATAGTAATACGAGAATTTTATATATAGGTAAGATATAGTTATAAATTATCTCTGACGATGTTTTGAATACATTTTCAATGTTTTACTCTGTGTAATAAGTATTGGAGCCAACAGAATATCAGCGCTGCAGATTTATCTGTATCTTTATGCTGAGTTGTTGTGCCTATTCACCTTTGCGGCAGATAAAGTCACCCTCATTTCATTTATTCATGTATTTTTCTATACCTCATGTATGCTATGTGTCTGTAAATGGTGAATAAAGTATTTATCTATCTATCTAGCTGGAATTTGATGCATAATAACCGTTATCTATATCCATGATTTCCCGTTACCATTTCTGAGGTCGAAGATGTCTAGCCTCCATACCAAACTCTGTACAAAATTCGCGTTTCGTACACATATACGTGTACTAACTAAAAATACTAGTATTATAAAGAGAAAATTAGCAATTTTGTTATGAGGAATATACCTAAACCCCGAAAAACACACACACATTTAACAACCCAATAGAGTTAAAAGCAAAATCAAAATATATAAGAAAAGAAGCAAATACTTATAATATAAATTTACATTAATGACGTACCTTTTCTCTTTCTTTATATGGGTACCACAGATATACAAAAAGGCAATAATCTAATTGTACATTGTAGATAAAATATGTTATGAAAATAACAAGGGCATGAAAAAGAAAAAATAATATTCCTAATTAGATTGGTATGCCTTGTGTTTCCTACAATCAATTTTATTTTTATTAGTAAAAAATATGTTTAGACATATTTTATGTTTTTGCAGACATGTTACATTTATGATCTATTTATTTATTAATTAATTACGTCTTTATTAAGCAGTAGTATTAATCCGTGACTTTATCTGATATTTTATGAGATAAAAATTACCTATGGCTGGTTTCGTGATACGATCTATCTTAATGGCAAATTTCATTACAATCCGTTAAGATTTTTAGTAGTGAAGAAGTAACAAACAGACGATATATTTTCGCATCATAATACTAGCTTGTACCTGTTACATCGTCTTTTTTAAATAAAAGATAGCCAAATACCGTCCTGACACAATTTATCATTACGTCAAATTCTATAACGATTCATTCGGCCGATCAGTCATAAAAAGGGTGTGTATAGAGAATCCAGACATATATTTATATTATAAAATAATATATGTATATAATTAATATTATATGTACAATGAATACATTATACATTATAGTATTATCACATTAAACGGGCAGATAAGTTATAAAAAATTATACAAAGATGTTATAAAAAATAGTCTTATTGAATAGGTGGATAGAAAACTAAATTACAGTCGACACATGTTAATTCTTCAAATAATTATTATTTTATATTATAATATGCATCATTATCTGTTGTATTCCATTCGCGACACAACATTGGCTTCACTTCCTCAATCATCCAAATTTACCCAATAAAAAAATCGAAAGAGAGAACCAGACACATTTTTGCATTTTTAATATAAGTGTGGATTTCTTTTAGCAATGTTGATATTAATGTTAGTGCGTAATTATTGTTTAATCTATAACCACGCGTACATTAAGGAGCTAGGTCACCGTGACAGCTGACAGAGAGTGACGAGGGTACTCCTCCAGAGAGCAACCTCAGTTTCAGAGACTAAGTGAATCAATTCTGCTAATCACTCTGCCTTTATCTATCGCTACTTTATCGTCTATGAATATTTTATTAGCTGACTAATCTATTTTTACACTGACTTTGGTGACTTTGAGTTACATTTTTAATCGGTATAAAATCATTAGTAAAGGTCGCAATTATATGTCAAAACAGTTTTATGTAATTAGATCTATTTCTTCTTAATATATAATGCAAACAGCCTTATTACACTTTCTTAAAAGTATAAAAGACACTGATCGAGAACAGGAAGGAAGAAGTAGTAAGGGACATGACGTAGGTACTATCTGGTCTCTGAGAAGTAAACGCAAGACTGGAAAAAGAGGTAAAGAAAAATAAGGATAGTTGACCCAGCCGTAATAAAATTGCACGACAAAAGGCTCATTTTAGTGCTCTGGAATAGCAACGCGTGAGTGGTATCACCGGTTTCACATAATAGCGTAAGGTCCGTAGTGCTGTTCGTATACATAGACGCAAGTTACCACTTATTATCAAGTGAACAATTAGGTTGTTTACCATTCCAATTTATTAAAATAAATAGGTAAGATGTTTACGAATAGGTATAATACTTCTTCAAATAATTATCATAACGTTCTGGATTCGCAAATAACGTATTTCTTTATTAGCTCGTTTATTTTCTTACTTGCCAGCATGCGAAATAAATTCTAACCTTACACCTTTTTTGACAACCCTGGTGAAACATTTAGAGCACGCTATTCACGCGTAAATTTGAATAGTCCACATTGGATTTGGGCCAACAGAGGCTGGATCTCTACACAGTATAAAATCTGTCATTCAAATACACAAGTGTCACATTTTTACGCATTTATTTACATATTTCAATAGAAAAGTATGTTACATAATGATAAAGGATAGAGGAAGTTTATTGCATTCCTTTCAATATCGTAGAGCAACTTCGACTTTATATATTAAAAATATTTGTACACATTTCATACGAAATACATAACGTACCTAAGACCTTCTGCGTATTACGTATGTGTGAAACAGAATATAAAGACGTTGACAGTGTCGTACCGCATTTTTTGGAAGAATTTGGAATAGCGAGCAATAAGTTCAGGTATCAGGTACCTTAATCAAAAGTCGCTATATTTCATTTTCACTTACTTCTATATTCCATTATCACCATTCAAACTAAAATACATCTTACAAAATTAGCTTCTTGGCGGCATAAATAGATTACAAAATCTTCTGCATATCCATGTACGTGAAAATAGAGATATAGAGTTTTTGATATAGCAATACACAGAATTCTCATGAATAAGTGATAAAATAATAATTTTACGACTTTCAGCTTATTGTTCGTTCTTTGCATACGTATATATATAGCGGTTACACGGTCGGTAAGCCAACATCCCGCCCTTGCTGCATACGGATTAAGAGTTTTTAGTTTGATAAAATGGAATATACATTTTTAGTTAGACCTCTAGCGACATTTCGGTGAAAACTGCATTCAAGTTCAACTGTACTTTTTGCCTGACAAATGTACATACGTACATATAGATGTGCTAGACTCTATAATCTTCTTCTCCTCTTATCCTATATTATTATTGTTTTCAAAGTCTATTTATATATTCATATTACAAGCTGTTACAACTGTTATATATGTGTATATCTATAGTTACATATATGTATATGTTGAGATTCTTAGATAACCATTCTGAATGATAAAGAAAAGAAGTTTATTGCTGCGACATTACACTGCGCCACGATGGCATTTGTTTGAATAAAAAATCACTTCAAAAATATCCTTTTAATTGGTGCTTTCAGCACCGGAGGTTCGAGATAACTGTTATTTAGAATACTGCGGTCCTGTTATAGACCATTTACTTTTGTTAGTACTACACTAAAACAGGTTTATGTTACTTCTTTTATAGCGTAAAGTATATAATATAATTTTACATTAAAATATTTAAACATAATTTTAGTACTTTCACTTAACAGTTTTTAGGAAATAATTCTTAAGTATACTATGACACAATTTCATAACAATTACTGTACCTGAACTAAATTATATTTAGTATCAGTGTTTGACACAATTCGATAGCTATACTGATTTTAATGACAATTAGCGTGAACATAGATACAAAATATTACATATGAATGAGGATGGTTATAAAGGCAGAGGAACGCCGAAAAAGAGATGGATGGACTCCCTGGAAGATGATATGGTAAGAAAGGGAGTGAATAATGAGATGACTGCGAACAGGGATGAATAGAAAGGGAGAACATATTGCGTCGACCCCAAAATGAATGGGAAAAGGAAAAATCAGATGATATTGCGTGAATATATGTAGATTATATCATGAGGCCGGACATAGGCAAAAGTTTATTTCATTTCAAAAATGCAGACGAGATCGTGGATAACTGCTAGTGTAATAATAAAATAGGTATGCACATAAATACAGGTGGCATTTTTTTACGCAATAGCGTTTGGCACAATCATGCGACTGTGGCGTCGACCGCACCGGTTCAAGGCTGAGAGCGTATACTGTCGTCGTTAGACTAGACGAGGCACATAAATATAAGCTAGTAAATTTTTTTCATTGCTTTCTACAACAACAATATTTATTATCATCGAAAACGAAGAATTTGTTTCGCTGTATTGCGTAATTAATTAAAGAAAAACGCGGAGAGACAAATGAGCCAAGTCACAAAATGTTACATTTGTTCGTGTCTGTTGTACGGAAATAATATATTTTTTCTTGTCGGTAAGGATAGTGATAAAAAATTTACATGCTCGAGTGGCCGATAGTGTCTCCTATATGAATAAATGGGTTTTGAATTTGACGGTTATGGAATGGTGCTCCCAGCTACGCTAACGGTCTGGAAGACGTTATGTGAAATCTAACTAACATAAACTCAAAATATCTATAATTACTATACTATACATTACTACATTTACTAAATCAATTATACTTTGTATATACGCTGTCAATATGGATGGTGTAGAGACAAAAATATTACTATA